GTGTCCCACAATCAGAGAATTAAATTTCATTCTGCGTCATTAATATGTCCCACAATCAGAGACCTTCATTATGTGACTTTACTGTGTCACACAATCAGAGACTTTACTGTGTCCCACAATCAGAGACTTTCATTCTTTGACTTTAGTGTGCATCCCAAAATGAGAGCCCTTCATGATGTGACTTTCGTATGCAACCTACAATCAGACACTCTCACCGACTCAGTCCTCATCCTGTGTCAGTGGCCTGCATCTGATGATGCGCACTAACTTGATGATGCGTCACATTCGGCTCAATGCTCGAACTCTTATCAAACTGAATGGAAAAAAAAATCGGTCGCATCGATTTGGGTTTTCCCGTTGATGAATCACTCCACTGCGACAAGTCGAACTCACTCTTGTTTTTTTCCCCCCAACATCCTGGCTATATCACCGGCATTTCCACGTACTTGGTGGTCTCCAGAATGCCAGTCACCAATGACTTGTCGCAGCAATCAACAGTCGGGGGGGGGGGGGGGGGGTTCTCATTGACACGATATCAGAAAAACTACAAATATCAACTGTTTAGACTTACAGGTCCAAGTTGTGGGTCGTTTTTTAGTTATATTAATGTTTATCATTGTAACTGTGGTGGGAGATGGTTGCCTGTTTTAGGTATTGTTTCGGAAACTGCTTTTTTACGTTATGACCGGTGGCGTCGCTGACACAATGGGACCCATGGGTCTGGTGGGGGGGGTGGGGAGTGTTTGTCTGAGAAATACCTCTAAGTGTTCCCGTGCCATACGCGCGTATTTCAGTATTGGCTCGTCTTCTGCTTGCCCGTCAATGTCGCCACGGCCTAACCCCCCCCCCCACCCTACCCCTGAACACGATGCCTGTCATTCACTCCTGATCGTCTCGTCGCCCCAGCAATAGGCAAACTATTTCCCCAAACATCGACCTGTATGTCCTTTATTCTTTACTAGGGTTAGCGTATAGATATATAGATATATATATCGCTCTTGTAACTCTTCCCTTTAACGACAATGTTATGTGTATACGAACACAGCGTCTGTATAAACGGGGTCCGTCATGTTGTTGACACGGATCCTATTCCAAGGCAAGAACAAAATAATTGATAACAAAATGTTTGGAACGTTCAACCATCGGGCTGTGGGCCCGGTTCCATGAATAATGAATGAGTTCCATCCGTCACATGATACTATGACTTTTATCTGCAGACGACCTTTGTTCCTGATTGGCGATTATAATTATGACAGTGCGTCTATTACTTAACACATTTTTTTTTTTGAAATACTAGCAGCAAAATCCCGGTGAGGCGGGTCGTGCGCGCTCTGTTCTCAAAGCTCAATATTAAAATAAGGCAGAAGTATCTTTCGAAGATAGAAGCCTGGGCCACTTTACAGCCTGAACGCAGTTCTTCATTTATTACACGTAGCAGCTATAGCTATAAAAAAAAAAAAAAAAAAAAAAAAATAGAACAAATTTCATAAATCATTCAAGTTTAAAAAAAAACAAAAAAAAACACAACTTATTTACATTAATTTCTGCCTAAGTTCGGAAAAAAAATCTATTTACATTAAAGAATTTTTTCAGATGAATCGTATAATTTTTGGCCTACACAACATGGTCCAGTTGCCCCCCCCCCCCCCCCCCCCCNAGCATTTCTCACACCACGTATTTTTAGATGCCCCCCCCCCCCACAACATAAATACCAAAGCACTTCTCCGTTAGTTTTTTGTTGTTGTTGTTGTTGTTTTGTTTAAAAATAAAATAATAAACAGCCCACAACTTTAAGTTTGTATAGCCGCAACAAAAACAGTTCTACGTGAATTTACTGAATTTACTATAATTAGAGATTTATTGTGTTAAAATCATGGCGGTTTCATGACGTCAGTTCTTTAAAATTCAATTCCTCTCTTTACACACCCATTCTCCTTTTGGTATTGCATAATCGCTAGACGAGCCCCCTTGATACATCTCACCTCTTGGAGATCCCTTGTCAATTTGTTTACGCGTCACCACCACAAGAGACAAGCGGCCCATAATGATATTATCAAGACTTGTGTCTAAAAATAGCTCCAAGCCAACCGCCACAGCGAAACGTCCTAATAGTAATATTGTGCCGAGGTGTACGCTGCCTCGTGATACAGGTACACGTCATAAGCCACGTGACTGAACCGCGTCACTTGCAGTCCGCAGAGTCACCATTACTCACCGTCGTAATTTTTCTCCCAAATAAATATTTGACAATGTTTTGTTTTTTTCTTTTACATTTTCAAACAAGTTAGCAAAATTAATTTTAAAATTATTTTTTTTTTGGTGGCCTTTATACGATGACGTAAGCCCTAATACTCCCACACAAATGACTTAATACTCCCACACAAATGACCTCATTCAGATCATAATAGTGACAACAATACATTGTACAAATTTGTCAACATGGATGAAATAGGATTTGTCCACAGTTTATACATCTCCCACACACACACTTTTTATTGAACTTTCTGTCGATGGTTGTTCGATGGTTAAATTGAAACTGGATTGCTCCTCTAGCTGTTGACATGGATTGAAACATGTTTATGCGACGAGTTTCCGAATTTCGCCGCAATTAGACTTGTAAAAATTGATATAGAAGGTTGATTTCGGGCAATGGTTCATTTGTAAGACGCTAGTCTGGTTTCGTAATCAGAATTCGCACGTCAAGCAATTTCTAGTTGGAGAGTAAGGTCTACCGCACCTACGCAAAACCCTGTGGCTGTGGGTAAAATGTAGTCCAAATACCGAGAACAGTCGGCTCTAAGTCTAACTCTTAGCTCCAAAAAGTGCCTAACAACGTATCTATTATCTAGAACACCGAAACTATCCCCATACCGTATTACGACTCTAATTTCATGACGTCAGTTCAGCTCGGTTTAAAGACCACCTATAAAAATCTGTCTTTTCACGGCTTACCCAAATATTCGCTACCAGATGACACTTTCAGGTAACTATTGAATGTTCATTTACTCTGTATAACGTTTGGGTTACATGAACACATTTTTAAGCTCTATGTTGATCTTCATGAGATTAACCTCATGCCAGGTGGCATTTCGTTTTGGTAGAATCTTGCACATCTCAAAGTTTGATAGAATTTTCTTTGCTATGAATTAGATCCATTAGTCGGCTAGATGCAGGGCCGAGGGGCGAAGGGGGCACTCACCCGTGGTGCCTCCATGGGGTGGGGGTGGCATCAAAATTGTCTTGAGATGAATATGGGGGTTGGGTGGCACCAACATTGTCTTGAGATGAATATGGGGGTTGGGTGGCACCAACATTGTCTTGAGATGAATAATGGCCTTCATCGTGAATTAAACGATAAAATCCCACGTACATCTCAAAGACAAGGAGCACTAAAATCGTCATTTCTTGTACGCCCCGGGCGGCACTTTCAGGCTTCGCCCCCGGGCGCCGCTTTACCTCGACGCGGCCCTGGTTTGACGGATGCTATTTATCTTTTCCCTCACTACAGCCTCCAACCCATCAATAACTTTTCTTTACATGGAATTTATTTTAGAGAAAACTACTAGGTTACAAGCTTTACATCGTAGTTACTGACAGCTATATTACTGGCAGCTATATTACTGACAGCTATATTACTGACAGCTATATTACTGACAGCTATATTACTGACAGCTATATTACTGGCAGCTATATTACTGACAGCTATATTACTGGCAGCTATATTACTGACAGCTATATTACTGACAGCTATATTACTGGCAGCTGTATTACTGACAGCTGTATTACTGGCAGCTATATTACTGACAGCTATATTACTGGCAGCTATATTACTGACAGCTATATTACTGGCAGCTATATTACTGGCAGCTATATTACTGACAGCTATATTACTGACAGCTATATTACTGACAGCTATATTACTGACAGCTATATTACTGACAGCTATATTACTGGCAGCTATATTACTGGCAGCTATATTACTGGCAGCTATATTACTGACAGCTATATTACTGGCAGCTATATTACTGACAGCTATATTACTGACAGCTATATTACCGGTTAAGCAGTTTCTAATAGCTATAGTGTTACTGGTAAAGCTAAATCTATTATGTTTACATAGATAGCCACGTTGGCCGCTTCTTACGTCAACGGTGCTTTGTTTATTGCTATATTATTCATCCTTTATATTGACGACAGTTTTCTTACATTATTGCGATCACCTCTAACCAATAACCTATAGTATATGGGCCTATAATAAAGTACTAAAGCCACCCATAGGCTAGCAACCACTATCTTCAAAATATAACTGGAAAATTGTACAAGACTTAACATCACTAGCACACAAAATATGAATGTTTCAATCACTATGAAGTATAAAGCATCCCAGATCAATTTCATATATAAAAAATCACAACACATATAACATATATACATTTATATGGCCTATAATTCTAAGTTAGGTGTTAATGACAAATTTCCATATTTTTCCCATCAGGTAAATAGCACCAATTACTACCAGCATTATATGCTTTTTCATTAATTTAAATATGTTCCGTTGATAACCATAGAACTTGCGACCTAAATGTAGCTGACATTCATTTCATTATTTATTCGTGTATTCCAAAAGGACTATCTATACACTCTACACACTTCTGTGTTATTGATCTTCATACAAACCAGATCAACTTTGCCCCCCAACAACGCCTCGATGAGATGACAACTAACGAGTTGTTCAAAAACAACAACTTGTGTCTTATATCTCAAGGCTTAAAACCAGTTAGACGACACACGAGACAAGGAGGTTCGCTTTAAAAAAAAACAACGAAGCCGCTAGAAGCCACAAGGGGGTGGGGACTAGACCAGCGTGGCTAGTAACGACCAGAGTGATAAGGATGTAGTGTTGATCGTGTGACGACAGTGTGTACATGAGACGACCGACGTAGATTACTAACAGTCATGTGACAGTACACATTCACAAAACATTTAGCGGACTATTAAAAGATGACCTTTACAGAAATACTTAGCGTTGATTGGTTCAAAGCGTAGGGATTCCGACCTATTGAACAATCGGGGATATTCCAGATTATAATTTCCAGAAAATAAAAGTGATTTTAAGCATTTTATCCGGGATATAAAATATTTTTGTTCCGAATGAACGAGGAAATACAATATTATACAATATTGTCAATATTCTATGTCATCATGAAGCACAAAGTTTAAAAAGCAAGTCCATTACTAGTTTTTGGTAGTAGACCTACTTTCAGACCCACTTTGAAAGGTAAGTGCATGGCATGGGCTTCTATGCTTTGCTTTTAAACGCATTCATTATTTTTAATAGTATGATCACATTAATAGCAACTTATAAGCCTAAAAAAAACCTAATTTTTAACATGAACACTCAATTAATTCAACAAATTTCAGTTCATTCCAGTTCAAATCAGGCAAACTTTTAGGAATGGTTAATAAAAACAAAATGAAAAATTTAAATACTATTATTTCATTGACATTGCAAGTCAGCTAATGGCAATGGCATTTAAAAAAAAAAATGCTTATCATGGTTAAAAAGATGTTCGTATGTATATAATTTATTACAATTAAGGAGTTACAGGAATATTTCCCTAACTGCAATAATTGCTACGCTAAGAATCAGGTCGACGCTAAATTTTCCAATGACCCCTTTCAATAACTCCAAAAAGCGACGGGGGAGGGCGGAGGAGACAGCCCTTCCCATCTCCGTGTTAGCGGCGTGTCCTGAATGACGAGGTCAAATTCCGTGAACATGCCATGCGGTCTTAGTTGGCCAGATAATTAAACAAACCTGTGGTCAAATTATTATTTATTCACGAAGACTTGCGTTGATGATATTTATGCAACTTTGTTTTAAATGTATTTTGTTTAAAAAAAGGATTTTATTATATTTTGGATTCTTTGTAACATAAAGAGTTCTTGAATCTACGTAGAAAGGGATACATTTATCAAAATATCTCGAATGACAAACAGACAAAATGGGCGTGTCCTAGAAAGTTATATTTAGTACGTGACTAAGAGGATTTCCTGCCGACCAACGTCGTGGCGGTGTTTACATCACGTGATCAAACGTCAGCCGAATGTTGCTTAATCTGCGTTTGTGTCATCGGCTATATAAAGGACTGAGCAACATCTCGTTCGCCACATAATTCATTCTGAACATCCTACGCAGTGGTTATGATGCAGCACAATTGAGTTGTAATATAGTTCGCGTTTTCAGCAGGCGAATAGGATTTTCATGTTGGAAGAAGGAAAATAATTTATCACTAATAATATTGTAAGTATTCTATTTGCGAAGGAGCCTCTTTGAGTTGGAATGTGACTTTTCTTTTTTGACCTTGCCGTAACCATTTCCACGTGGTATTAGCTGTGCGCATGAACTGTATGACTTTACAACTGCGTGGTGTGTACATTTTGTTTCTAGATTATTCCGTTGGTTTTCTGGTAACCTGGTTTTGTTATGCAACTATATATTATTAAAGTAATTCATTTCATTGTGACCAAACAAAGTTAGATGTAATATTAGTATCCTATATTTCTAGTTTGCTTAAAATAATAATTACATTCAGAAATATACTTAATTTTTTAAAAAGTAACTTATTTAAACTTCGCCGATAAAAACTCCTCACTGCTGATTCACTAGTTATGTACGCCGGTACTGTAGTTAGTAGTATAAATAGTATGAACAGGCTATATCCGTATCTCACTGGTTGTTAGTTGGTGACACAGCACAGATCTTCCGACATTTTGTCATGTGATCTCGCTTACATGCTGACATTTCTGTGATTTATCTTGTGTACTGTTACTTAGCACTAGCATATCTGTCGAAGCTATAAAATAGAAATTAGCGTCAGTTTGTTCACATTGCGATTGACGTCGACATTTGGTTCGTGGTAAGACGAGTTCATAGACTAACTCTAGTGGTTGGTACCGTAGTAACATGCCGTCCCGTGGCCGTGTCTATATTTATCTGCTGCAGCTAGCCTTTTATTATTAGTGATCAGGCCGAAAATCATTTAGGCCTATTATTAAATTTTAATGTAATTTAAGTCCCTCAAAGTTTTGTAAAAGGTCATAGGCCTAATTCAATATACCCGGCATATATTTATATATTTGTCACAATTTGGATACAGTGACAGCCTACTGTACTGTAGGCTACACAAATTCAAATACATAAAGTTGTCCGAGTAAGCTAAACTCTTCCTTCTCCTGTATGAAGTTAATGAAGAAAGCTAAGCCTAAGCTTATTTTAAAAAATTAATTTTTATTTTATTGATATGGTCATTTATAGTACTTGTGTTACTATAGACTATAGTATCTAGGTGTAAGTTTATGTCAATCACTATTATTAGGTCTCAGTGGTACTCAACTTTCCTAATGCAGTGACTCTTTAGTATAGTTCCTCATGTTGTGGTGCCCAACCACTAAGTTATTTTCGTTGCTACTTCATAACTGTTGGGCGCTGCCCACAAGTTGAGTGCCGCTGTATATAGTATATGGTAAACCTATGTATTAGTACTCAGCCCAAGTATTCGGATTAACCCTAAAGCCTAGAGTAAAGACACTAAAGTCATTTAATTTTATGCAGCGCAATGACACTTTATTTACACATTGGCATTGTGGACCTTGTAACGTTGATGTACATTGAATTGAATAAGCCTAGTCGTACATTGAATTGAATAAGCCTAGTCATTTTTAAGCCTCATAGGCATTTAGGGACCTGATTTACTTTCGTTTCAGTCTGCAAGATAAATAAATCTCTTAAGACAGGAAGGTCTACATTCTGCTGCTAGTATCAAATGAAAATGACAATCTCAAATAGTTATTGAGTGGTCTCTATTTATTTTTTGTTCTCAATTTTTTAATATGTAACCTTGATTAATTTCATCAGTGTCAATACATTTTTTGTACTGACTACAATAAAGGTGAATTATTTTTTTTGGCCCTATATAATGTTTTTTTGTTTTTTTTTTCATATCTAACAGATTACTCATCAGCGTGAACTTGAAAAATAAGTTGTAAAAGATGACATCTCAGAAAAGATACCGCCACCACCAGCAAGACAGTAACAACGGAAGCTCACGTTTCCGAGACCTACCCCCTAGATTTAAAAGGCAAAAGTCATCCTCCTCACCACCACCTAAACCTCTTGCATCATCTAATGAAGAAAACAATTATTCAGAAAATACCTCAAGAATTCTTGTTCAAGACATGTCACCAATGACACCTCCTGGTGCCACTGCTACTTCTGATGGTTTGAAAGTTTTGCCAGGTCTAGAAAGAACAAATTTAGGCCTGAGCAAGTTGAGCCCAGTAACTCTGCCTAATGATTCAATGTGGACAATGTTGCCAAGGAAAGAACAGCAGCCTGTATTGTCACCTGTAGACAATATGCACTTTAATAACTTTTCCAGCAGCAGACAATCGCCACCTGCACACATTCCTTTGGGAACTCACTTTGGATATAGTCCTCCAATGTCTCCATGGTCCAACACAAATACAGCTGGGTACCCCGGGCAAACTGCTGGGATCTTTGTACAGAGCCCCTGGTCGCAATCAAGTTTTGATCCATATTCCAATCAAAGGCTAAGGAGTCCTCCCAGTTTCAGTTTGAATAACGAGAATCATGCCCCAAACATCAATATGATGCCTCAGCACAGTCCAGTCGCCCCTTGGACAAAATCATCATTTTCTCCACAGCCTGTTGCTTCAGCCACTTCCCAAGCTCAGCGTCTTTTGTCTAGCAGTTCTCCTCCCATATTAAAAGAAAATACCCAACCCATTGAGAGTCCCAAACCTGACATAGATTACTCTGATCCAGACATAAGAACTATTGAAATGTTGCGTGAGCTGGAGAGAGTTGCTGATGAGAAAGATAATGATGATTTTGGTGTTGACAGAAAGTCATTGGTGTCCCACCATCTGCGGATGCTAATGTGTGCAGTTGACAGATACACAGAGGGTGTGGAAGTAGAGCTCACGCGTCGTGAGGAAGTCACACAAAAGACGGAAAGTCCCGTTCATACCCCTCGACAAAATTCGCCAGCTCCGTCAATGACTTTGTGGACTCAAGATCCAATGCTGAAGGGAAAAGATTCTCCAAAAAAGACGGAGATCCTGAATTGGAATCAGAATAAAAATGCCTCACTGCTTTGGCAAGAACAGGAAAGAAAGGCTGCATCTACTAATCAACAAGGTGCAAAGAGTCCTGCCAAAATTTGTAACCCACCAGCTCTTACACCTCCGCTGCAGGCAAAATCTGTTTGGGATGAAGAAGTTAGGCCAGTACAGCCAGGTACACCAGCCTGGGACCTCTGGTCTAGTCCATCCTTTGATTTTTGTGGTGTTCTCGGTAATCAAGGCTCATGCGACAGCTCTGACATGCCTTTTTTTGATTTCTTTGGCAACTGTAATAGAGGGGATTTGCTTGGTGCTGAGGAGATGAAGGAAAGGAAACCCCTTTACAAGCGATAAGTGATGAATTCCTCTCCTTGAATCGTGATACTGTTTTCTTCTTCAATCGTATTTTAAAATGTTAACTAATTTTAAAATTACCCGAAGTGTACTCCTAAAATGGAAAATTGTATTTATATCTCTGGTTTGGGGACATATGCCATCTTTTGTCTTTGAGTATTTTGTTTGGATGTTAGATTTATGCATCTTGCTGTTCATTTTGATGAACATATTTTGATTATTTATACATGATCTGATTCAGGTTATGATGATCAACCATTGAATTTTGATTCTCTACTTGTTTTTGTTCTCATTTATTTTCCCCATAAGTTGTAAGTCATTAACTGGATATTTATAAACAACAGTTCTTGAACTTGCCATGATGTATTTACTTCTTATTTATTAATGCTGAACGCACTTGAATGGATTAGCTGCTGCTTAACACTGTGCTCGATCATCTAATGTTACATTGGGAAGTCGCGTCGGCGGGCCGTTTAGCATGGGCTCTTAATGCCCTCCCCAACGCACCTCCACACAGCCCAGGCGCTGGAATGATTGAATTGACAATATGTGTTTACTGCCTTGACATTTTCCCCATGGTCGTATCTGCATACTGTGCTACCTGTGGTAGAAGGTACTCTAAACAAATCAAATACTTTGATCATGCCGGCCATTTGGAGGTCTTGTTAAATCTTAGGCGATGCATTTCAAGTGCTACCGGTAGTTAATTTTGCTTATCATTTGTAATAATTTTGATTATTATTTGCCTATTAGCTTTAATGAATCTAAAGCCTGTATTAAACAGATTCCGAAAAAAAAAATGCTTACATTTCTACGTGTCCTCGCAAGATTATTGCAGACTCTTTGAATGTTCCGATTTAATTTTCTACTTTTGCCTTTGGCTATGCACCTTTCTTTTAACTTCCATAATGTGCAATTTTGTATCAACTGAGTACGTATATCACTGGATTGTATAATATTTGTATCAAACTGTAATTATGTATCTAAATCTAATATTTTTCACAGCTGAATTATGTCTGATTACACAATAATATGAGCATCCACTTATTACAAGAGAAAAAAATTGCCAATGATTTGTCCATATATAGTGGATAATTATTAATACTGTAGATCACCAACTTGTGTTTCCTTCTAACACTTGTACGCGCCTGGCAAGTGTATTTTTGATGTATGCACAGCAATAAGTAAGATTATATTACACAGGCCTGGTGATGATTGTATAGAAAAATCGCGCTTTCAGTATCTTCAGGGTTGAAGGAATTTTTTTGAAAAAATATTTTTTGAAATACTTCTTGTACAAAGTAACTATTGTAAAGCTGTTAAATAATGTAAATTAATCTTGAGTTAAAGTTTTGACAAATGAGCTGTAAATTTGTAAAACAATAGCAATTCGTCCATATTTGTCATGTCACTAACTTTTTGTGTGCCATTGAGCATATCCAGGGGGAGGGATTGTTTATTTATCTTGTATTCTATTGTAAAAATTCAGAGCTACAGAAAAAAAGTGTCTTGATTTAATAAAAATGAAAAAAAAAATAATTGCAATAAATTCTTTTGACCTGTTTTTTTTAAAGCTTGAATGTTTGTGAGAGTAGTTAAAAATTTCATGTTTGTCCCTGCAAATTTCTTGTGTTTTTAGCAGCCAATCAGATGAGCGGGTAACATAGTAAACTTGAGCTCCCATGCAACACCCACCCTAAAAATAAATTAACCACTCCATCTGATCTACCAGGCATGGGGATCTATTTATATGTAAGATAATCTAATTGTTTTTTTTATTAGGTCAGCCCAAAATTTGTATACACCTAGTTACTTACTAGTACCGGTATCAATTTCATTTAGCTTCTGGAGCACAATTATTTAATAGGTCTAGTAGGTTCTTCATTTAACTTTTAAATCTTCCTTATTGACCTTGGTTCAAAATGTTGGCATCTGCCCAAAGTAGAAGGCCACGGTGATGGGTTTGAATGAACTCTAAGGTTAGAAAACAGCCCCCCCCCCCTCTCCTCCCCGAGACTAAAGGAACCTTTGAATGTAAACATGAATAATAAATAGCGTAACAAAATGTGTCTCATGACTGGCTTTATTAAAATGAAGGGCACCAGGCCATTCAATATGGGACTAAATTTGATAATTATGTATACAAAATTATGTAAATCTAGAACAACAAAAAATAAAACACGAGCATCGCCTATCTAATCTGGGGGAAATTTTCCAGGAATTAAGATTTTGAGAGTGAGAAATTGCAAGGTCTATTCATGATTTAAAGTAGGCCAGATTTCAGGACTATTTCACTTAATGTATTAAATTTAAGGTTTTTGTGCTACCTGGCTTCATTAGATTTGATGCCATTATTTAAAAAAAAAAACCAGCTGAGGAGCGGTGCCATCCGTAAGAGTAGACCTATCACGCCATTTTGACCGAACTCCCTCCCCCACCACCCCAATAAGACCATCCGTAAGAGTAGACCTATCACGCCATTTTGACCGAACTCCCTCCCCCACCACCCCAATAAGACAAGACCGTGCTAGACATCTACACTACATACATAATGTCCACCATACACCCCCACTCCTAAAAAATGCGATAAATACACACATTAAATTATACAGAAGGTTTCTAAGTAACACCCGTACTGAATGTCCCATAATGAACACTTGACACACCCTATAGAAACATATGACATATTCTATATCCCATGCATCATTCAAATACAGTTGGCCCTTTGGCCCATAGTCCGCACACAATGTCTGAAAACGGACATACTATACAGTCCAATATTCACTTCATTAAACAAACTCCAGTTTTGGATGACTTGAACAATAATATTTCTTCACACCACCCCCCACCCTTTCTTATATGCCCGAAACCATTACACAGTTTCTCCAAGTCCGCACATCATCAATTCCTTTCTCTTATGTCTGGCATCCCACCTTTTCTCATAGGTCCGCATAGCACATTCTTTCTCGTATGGCTTCACAATATCCCACCATTCCTCTTTTGTGTGCACAATTTCCACCATTTCTCTTATGTCTGCACAATGCCCCACCTATTCTCTTACATCTGCATAATATACCACCATTTATCGTATGTCACATCCTTTCCCTTTATGTCTGTACACCATTGCCATTACATCCTTTCATATGTGCATGTTATATTTATATTATTATTTTAGAAAGTTTTGTTCAAATTGCATCCTTCGACTTTTCCCCCAACGAATGATTAAAATAAATCACTGTAGTTTTTTTGTAAAATGAAAACACCAAGGAAGGAATGATAAAACCAACAACTTTAAAAACTAACTGTCTCCACTCTTGAGGAGTGAGCGTGATGTGTTTAGAATTATCATCAAGTTAACTCATGCGTAGCCTGACGCACTCGAATGGAGATGAAAAATTGTTCTCACAAGTTCAAATTCTGTTTAGTTAAAATTTCATTCATGATTTCTAGAGTGAACTCTCTTTTCTGATGGGGGAAATCCACACCTCAAGGACACACCCAAGCGACAAAAGCCACGACTACAACAACGCAACAAAACTTTAGGTAAAGGGAAGTAATCATAATTTTTAATTTAGCCGTTATTTGACACAGTTGTTGTTCCTGGAAAAGACCATCTAAACATTACACTACCAACCTTTTATGTCGCAAATAGTCCAATTCTCGCCTTAATTTCTATACGCACAATTTTTAAAAAAATCTAATATCCCCATTACCCCTAGTAATTATAAATTGAATGTGTCAAAAGGGGAGGGGTAGTAATATATATATGCATATATATTATATATATTTATTAAGTTTTTTTATTTTTCTGGGTACCGTCCGTCACAGTTTGATGATGGTGTAGACTTCGCAGGACGAAATCCACAAGACCTGGGATTATTCTTTTTGGAATTACAAGCTGAATTCCCTACACAGCAAATCGCCTCTCTCCACGCTGCTGGATAACCCATGGAAACATCATATGTGGATGATACACCTTGGCTCCAGTGACGTCGCAGGAGTTGTCGGCATGTTTCATTGTACCAATGTTATCAGCCTACGGGACTCCATTTCCGGCTTTGAATTCAGAGTTTCCTTCTCTTTGATGAGTTGCTTTCCAAGGTGAACGAATCCCATCCACCCGGGGTGCTGGTGATGTTTTAGATTGATTGGGCTTTGAATTCCAGACCATCCATGAACCAGAGATTGAGTCAGTTTAGACCACTGGGTCACCCATATATATATATATATATATATATATATATATATATATATATATATATATATATATATATATATATATATATCAGCCTACGGGACTCCATTTCCGGCTTTGAATTCAGAGTTTTCTTCTCTTTGATGAGTTGCTTTCCAAGGTGAACGAATCCCATCTACCCGGGGTGCTGGTGATGTTTTAGATTGATTGGGCTTTGAATTCCAGACCATCCATGAACCAAAGATTGAGTCAGTTTAGACCACTGGGTCACCCATATATATATATGTATATATATATATATATATATATATATATATATATATATATATATATATATATATATATATATATACATATAACAGACATACATTATTTACATGGAAATGTTTTGTTATATCTTCCCAACAGAAGTGTCTAATGATCTCTCTCCAAATCATGGTAAAATGTGATCAAAGAATTAGCACTGGATAACAGACACTCATGAACGTCCCCGACACCCTTCCTTGTAAAACCAATTTTCAGCACAGCTACCTAAGTTCAACAATGATGGTGAACAGGGATGTTACAAACAAAGGCATAACAAAGCGCTATACATTTTATCTTCTGGTATAGTTTACCCAAAGATGGAGGTTGACCCTTTAAGTGTGAAAGCAAAGATTATTCAGAGAGATACGGTAAAACTGCACAGGAGTCCACCTATAGCTATATAATTCTTTATACACTTTAAAGTTTTAAAGTAAGCAGTTTTTCAAAATAAAAACTGCTCTATTCAACAAAGAGTAGAAATTTCGGTGTTTTAGAAAAGGTCTGGGAAAGGTGACCCTAAAATCCCCCCCGGCATAAACTTGCGCTTCATTATTCCAAGATACCCCCCCCCCCCCCCCCCCATTATGATGTATTATCTCCGTGATCAGCTAACAGATGACACCAAAACCAAACGGCTTAGTGGGACAGGTAAGAAGGTAAGGTAATTATTTAGACCCTCGCGGTACAGTCAACTCGACTTTCCAACCAATAAGACAATAGTTTACGCCCTGACGAGATCACCGCCCTGACGAGATCACCACCCCCGACAATGGACTTTTGGCGTTTTGTGGGAAAAGTCGTTTGGACAGATTGGTCGTAGGCAGACGTGAACGTAGGCGTTCAGAAGGTTCAGTTTGTGGAGACGTGATTTCTTTTGGGATGTTAATGGTCACACCATGAGCGAGTCAATGTGAACATCATTTGTATAGAACGGCTTCATGTCTTAGCGTGAGTGTATAATTAGAGCAAACATCATACACAGGTAAATACAAGCAGAACTAGAGAAGATGTAAGAGAAGTGAACCGTCTTCAAGTTTGAAACGCTTATTATGTGTGTACTCCAGTAGAGTAAAGAATTATTTATGTATATACTTGACATCGGTTTTAAACTCAGGTGTGTCTTGAACTTTCACAGGTGTGTCTTGTAGGTTCAGGTTCACAGGTGTATCACAAGATTTTGATATTGATAACACATCAATATGTTAGTGGTGTTAACACATCAATATGTTAGTCGTGTTGACACATCAATATGTTAGTCGTGTTGACACATCAATATGTTAGTGGTATTAACACATCAATATGTTAGTGGTGTTAACACATCAATATGTTAGTCGTGTTGACACATCAATATGTTAGTGGTGTTAACACATCAATGTATTCGCGATGTTACTGATATTAACACATCAATATGTTAGTGGTGTTAAGACATTACTATGTTATTGTTGTTAACACATCAATATGATAGTGGTGTTAACACATTAATATATTAGTGATATCAATACATCAATATGTTAGTGATATCAATACATCAATACGTTAGTGGTGTTAACACATATATTAGTGGTGTTAACATATCATTATGTTAGTGCTGTTAACACATCAATATGTCGGTGGCGTTAATACATCAATAGGTCAGTGGTACTTAAATGTCATCCCTCCGTAGCTAGTGACACTTCATCAAAAGGCTTAAGAAGCTGATCCTAGAATGGCAGTCTTGGCTGCATTTCTCGCACCAGAACCTTGACTCCTGTTAAATGATCCATAATTCACAGTCATGGCTTTCCCATAAGTCTTTTCCCTTCTGCCAACTCTCCATATAGCATATCTTTTGGAATAAGGCCTTCCCCCATTCTTCTTAAATGACCTTACCAGCGAAGGCGTCTCTTGCTAAGAGCGGAGAATATGCTACACATTTTGTCACGCTCCAAAACATTTGTGTTGAGCACCTTGTCCTGACATCGAATGTGCAAAATGAGACGCATATATATTTGGTTGAATCTATTGAGTATCCACTCGTGACTGGTATATGTGAACCACACTTCCCTGCCATATAGGAGCGTGCTAAGCACACATGCCTGATAGACGCTTAGTTTTGTGCTTTCAGTTAGTTTAAGATGATTTCACAGCCGCATATTCGTTGTAGCCACAGTTGCTGCTGCTCTTGCGATCCTGATGGCCACATCTTCGTCAACAGAGAGTGAAGTAGAAATATTGGATCCACGGAATGCGAAAAGCTCAACTACCGACAGATTATGGTCCTTGGTAGCTAATGATTGGAGGGGATGGTGCTCCTGGCATCATGCTATGTGTTCTATGTAGACTAATGGTCAGTGGTAACAGCACATCAGTATTTTATTAATACTACCGCATCAATATATTAGTATTGGTGGGAAATTACATCAATACTTTTGTGCTATTACATCAATAGGTTAGTGATTTCACATCAATAGGTCAGTGATATCACATCAATAGGTTAGTGATGTCACATCAATAGGTTAGTGATATCACATCAATAGGTTAGTGATATCACATCAATAGGTCAGTGATATCACATCAATAGTTTAGTGATTTCACATCAATAGGTCAGTGATATCACATCAATAGGTTAGTGATGTCCCATCAATAGGTTAGTGATATCACATCAATAGGTTAGTGATATCACATCAATAGGTTATTGGTATCACATCAATAGGTTATTGGTATCACATCACTAGGTTAGTGATATCCCATCAATCAGCTAGTGATATCACATCAATAGACTAGTGATATCACATCAATAGACTAGTGATATCACATCAATAGGTTAGTGATATCACATCAATAGGTTAGTGATATCACATCAATAGGTTAGTGTTATAAAATCGTTTAGGTCACATCTTGCCCTATTTCTCCTTGTAGACTGTCAATGAGTAGGTTATTTATCAGACGGTGTCCCGGTGCATCTCCTTTGTCCGTGGGCCTACAATTCTGTTCATTCGGCCTTGCTTTTCTAAACGGAAGTTGTAACAAACGAGGAACTCCCTATCGTGACAGGTGACAGCGCAGTTCATGAGAGCAATCCTGGTTTCGTGAATTAAAACTTTTCTACGTCATACGAGCCTCACCCTCGTTTTGATTGATATGTATCATTAAAAAAACGAGATGATTTTTTTTTTTTTATAACGTGCATCTCAAGATAACAAATACCGGTCATCAAATGATAAATTTAAACTAATAGAAACTCATAATAGTTGTTGAGATTATTTTTTTTTTTAAATTGCCGCAACTGCATATTGATGATTGATGATGATGATTGATTACTTTTATAGCGCTTGTGTCCATGCTATTTTAACATGCCAAAAGCGCTTTTTTGTCATAAACTCCATTTAAAAAAATGCCTTCAACTATTCTCTTAAATGAATTTTAAAATCATTTTTTAAATCCTTCAAGGACTGAGACAAACTTTTCCATAATTTAGACGCTGCAGCTTCAAAAGAGCGCACTCCGAAGGACTTCTTTTTGTGTCCATCCGCATTGAGAACTCTGAGTAAGTACTGTGATGTAGAGCGCACCTTCCTTAGGGATCCATGTTTAGAAATCAGTTTAGACTGTCAGGTGCAGAGCCTTCCATAAAGCTGTGCGTCGGGGGGGGGGGGGACGGGGGGGGTGGGGGGGGGGGGGGGGGGGGGGGGGGGGACAGAATCTGATGATTTATTCTGTAAATGCAATGCTGTGCCAGAGGTTGTCTCCCTTTCCAACATCTAATGCTGTAAGTGTTCAGTCCTGCTTTTAAAGGGGAGATAACGGCATAAATGAAACATGTTGTCACGGTTAACGTTAGCCACAGACAGAAATATGATGGGAATTATGTTATTTGAATAGCTGGACTAGACATAAATTAGTAAGTGTTCCCCATCACCCCCCACCCCCCCCCCCTCTCAAATTTCACATTACAGGAGAATAAGAAGCAGCGCAGCTATTGCTGTTACAAATTTACTAGGTGTGCATGATAAATGCAGCAAACATGATATGTTAACAACTGTGGCACGATGGGATGTAGTTTATTATACAAACATCACGTTAACAACTATGACGTGATAGGGTGTAGACTTAAAGGTATTTGCCACGATTTGTTTGTTACATTGTGATTCAATTACTAAAGCACCCCGGGCTGATCCCGCTGTTACAAAGCTTGCATTAAAAAAAAAAATACTTGTTCTTCAGCGATCAGAGATGTAAATTGATAATGAAAGGTGAGATGTTAAGATAAAAGGAATTTCTAAGTGAGGTTTTGGTAGCACACCTTTATTATTCATTTTATAACGTCATGTGCTATTTTTTTTTTTTTTTTTTTTTTTTGCGCCCCCAATTTTTTCCGTGGCGTAGGGAGGGGGGTGGGGGGGGGTTGGGGGGTGTGGGGGGGGTGGGGGGTGTGGGGGGGGTGGGGTGTGTG